AGTGCCTCTATTTTGCATTCTCTAACTTAAAGGGCAAGTAAAGTCCACCACGTGAAAATAAATAAATGCATAGCAGTAGACTAAAATCTAAGGCAAATAATAGAAAATACAGCCTATCTTCAATGTATGTATGATCCCAGGTGGTAACGTATTTCCTTCCTATTTCAGTACTTGTTTTCCATTTACACAGCAGAGGCTACTTACTTTTGAAGCTTAAAAGCAGGGAAGAATCACATTTTGGAAAACCAAGCAAAAATTACAAAGATTACTGAACTGCCTATTGCATGTTCTGTACAATGCCATTCAAGAGGAGACAAATGATATTAAAATACTGAATTAGTAAAAACAAGTCACTTTGAACATGCTCCCCATCAAGTTTATGCTCATTTACTGAGTTTTTACAGCAGAACATAATACTTAGATGTATTTAATCACAGCAAATATATAAAAGGTTGAATCTCTTAAATATGTAGTATCTCACTATGCTGCAACAGCTCATCTTAGAGGCAATAATGCAAATCCAGGTAAATTAGAAACTTAATATCAGCCTTACTTGAAAAAATGCATGAGGAGAAATTCTAAATTTTAGGCCAAGAAGTTCTTCATATATGTACTTATCACCAGCCACATGCTCCAAAGGCAAGTCTTCTAAATTGGGAGATTTCCTGGTAGAAGGGGAGAAACAAACAAAAGCAAGCAATTATGTTTATTACAATTTTTTTTATTTTTTTACCAAAAAGCGTTATCTTAAAAACTGTACTACTGCACAGTAGTTTATAACATGGCAACATTTATCACATTCTTTTAGAGACCACCTTGGAATTTTTTCTTTTAAATCTCGTTCCACTGACACAAAGAGTTTGACCTACATTGTCTCTAGATGAAGATAAGGTGGACTTTGTGCTCTGTGGAAGATGATGAGGAGATGAAAAATTATGTAAAATAGGAAAGAAAAAAAATGACATGAAATTTACTTGTTGATAACAATAAGTACCCATCTAATATAGCAAACACTTTCACAGCTTGATGGCCACTAACTAGTAGCAGTTCTGCCCATTTAAACCCTAGCTGCCTTTACTCAGTGACTGCTACAGGAAAACTGGAAGTTTCAGGAATCTTTTGTGGAAAAGGTTCAGCAAAGTAATAATGCTGCTGCTACTTTTAGGAATTAGCAAACAACAAGAATCCCGCTGCCAGCAGAATTCCCCAAAGCAAAACCAAGTTCCTTACCTTTGGCCTTCCTCCACAAAGTACAGAGAAGTAATGCCACTGTCCCTTCCCATCCCCTCTGTGAAGTATTTCGCCAGAGAGACTTTTAGGTCAGCGAGCTCTTCTTTGCTTAATTTCTGAAGGTTTCATTTGAAAAGAGAGAGAATAATAATCTTAGTGACTTGGAAGATATGATATAGTGTATGCCTGCTATATACTTCTATATGCTTAAAGAAGACATACATTAATTGTTCATTTGCATTTATCAGATTATTCTAAATAAAAAAGCAGTAATGCAGAGTAAACCACGCTAAGTCATTATTCTATTTCTCTTTCACATTCACTCTTTATAAAATCAGATTTATGTAATTCAAAACTGCGCATCTGGGCTGCACTTTATATATCATCTTAAATACCTGAGGATTAAAATAAACAATTGCCATAATGTGGCCATTCCTGCTGGTACGGACTGTGAGCTGTTTCCAGTGACCTTCATAGGTTTCTGGGCTGTAAACTGAGTAAGGAGTTGACCTGCAATTTTCAGAAGCTCAGTTACTTAACAAGGAACTATTTTTTGCATGACATTCAAGTTGATTGAAACAAAAGCAGCTCACCATGCAAAGTGATGAAAAATGTTAAGTACAAACAGAGACTACATTGATCTGTCAAGAGAAGAATGACTTCCAAATCTTAATTAAGAAAAAAAAAAAGAGATTAATAGATCTCCAATCACAAAATAATCTCTCCCTAGCTTTCATAATCCTCTTACCTCTTATCCATTTTAACCCATCCAAAATTATAGATAGGATATAGGCAGCCTCTCACCACATTCAGGGAACAACACAACTTATTTATAAATGCCTTCATCAGCTTCTGTGTTCCACACTAAGTTGAAAACTTTCCATATTCAAGATTGTTCTGAGTTTCCATTTTTCAGAATTCAACTGCTTTTCAAAGCAACTGCTCCTTTTCTAAGAAGTGTGACTGCTCACAGATTTACCACTTTTGTTTTATCGACTTGTAGGCTGATTCTTCTCTAAGTCAGTAAAGCACACAATTGACTTTAGTTGTTCAAGTTCCTCTTTTAACAATTTTTCAGAATAAAATTTTCTTTACAGTTATTGGAAAAAGCTCTTAAATAACAGGCACTTTCACGTGTAGACTTCTGTTATCTCGTCACTAGCAATAAAGCTGTGTTATGCTGGTATCTGCCCCTCCATCTCAAAACATCAGAGCAAGAACAAGGGACATACACCCAGTGATCAAGGCACAAGATGCAAATGTCAAAGAACTGCTAAAGAATGAGACTGGTATATCCTTAGGTCATAAAGTTCAGAACAAACACTAAACTTTTCACTTTAATTTTATGAATATTTTTGAGTCATCAAAACATTGAAAGAAAATTCAGTTTACTTATGCTCACCTTATGTAGTCTTGAAATGCTTTTACTACTTTTTTGGCAATAGCAGGAATGTGAATAGTATCAAATGGCTCCACTACAGCGCACGTACCACCCTTGTATTTGCCAAGACGACAACCCACAGTTTTGTCTTCTTGATTTACACCAATCCCAATCAAAAACTCACATTTGTTGCGATATTCGGTCTAGATTTAAAATAAAGTTATGTAAGATATTTATACAGCACTTACTTGTACATACCAAGTTTATCTGAAAACAACCTTCACGTGGTTAAACGTACTTGCAGAAGGCCACAAGCCATTTCAGTTCATATGGAAGATATTCCTGAACTTTGATGTATGAGAACTAACCACAATAATGAACAAGAATTAAGTAAATCATGTTACTCTAAAAGCAAAACACTGCATTATTTGAAAGATGTTTTTATGAGCTTACAACACAAACTTCTGGGGTCAGCATGCTCACTTTAAAGATAGAATATCCAGGTAAGCATTTCTCTGCTTCCTGTAAGTATTTCCACACACTATTTACACGAAAGGCAATGATGTTTAAAATTCATCATTCATTACACAATGAAGACAAATACTCAGTTTGTCTGCAGTCTCTTAAGACCAACTAATCAATTTTGCCCTAATCTCATCAACCCCATTCCATCCTCAACTTTGGATGACATTACCTGTAACGGTGATGCTTTCACTCCCTCTACCGGGCAGCACATTTTGTTATACTTCTGCTTCTGCACGAACAGCCAAGGTAATAATGCTCTGTTGTTATTTCCTATTTCCCTGCCCAAATCAGAAACAAACATTTAAAACTGCACACTTGGAAAAAGTAAACTGTTGCACAACATTTTTTTTTCCTTTTAAGCTAGGGCATAAGAAAGTATCAGATTGCCAGAGGAAGACTATTTCTTCTGAAATAAATACTTTGTTTAACATGGAAAAAAAATCCAATTTTACAAGAACCATAACCTGGCAAAAGAAGAGTTAATGTAGTTACAAAGGTTAGTACTATATTTGACAAGGTACTGATGCACGAACAGACTGCAATTTTATCTACACGATTAGGGCAAATGATGGAAAAGATACTTTGATCTGCAAAGACCAGACTTAAAAAATGAGGGGATTATTTAGGAGAAAACCCTAATGGTATTTTGCCGTCTCTACAGATTGCCTCTTACAACATTTGACAGGTGCATATTTTTTTGAACTTCAGGGGCACCAACATCTTTCTGTTTAGGCCCATGGCACTACGGACTCCCAAAATGATGTCCATTCATTTAGTGATCTTTTGAAGCTGACCAAGAACAGCAGCGGCAAGTTTTGCCAGCTGGAGCACTTCTTCAGCCCTAGCATCACAGATGATCTGTTATTTACTTTGTTTGGGATTTGTTTTCTGACATCCCTCTAACCGGCTTTATTTTAGATAACAATCTGCTCAAACTTAGCTCTATCCCACTGTAACCATGTATCATTAGACCCAGGGCAGCTTCACAACCAGCCGTTAATTACTTTGCCAGTTTCTGCAGCACTTGCTCGCACTCTTGCTTCTTTCTGGCCAGCTGCTCGGCGTAGGGCATGCTCCACAGTGGAGTCACCACATCGGCTATCTGCTTACTGAGAGGCTCCTCGGGGCCGGCCGCCGGTGGGGCCGGCCGCTTCGCCTCCCCTGCCTCGCTCCCCTCGGCTTTCTTCCTCTTCTTCGCCATGGGGTCGGCCTTGGGCTTGGCCAACCTGACGCTGAGCGCGCGGCCCTTCCACAGCACCCCGTGCAGCGCCCGCGCGGCCTTGTCCCGCTCCTCCTCGCTCTTGAACGTCACGAAGGCGAACGTCTGCCGCCCGAAGAGCTTGATCTTGTGGGGGCTCAGCCCGTACTTGGCGAGGAACTTCTTCACGTCGTTGAAGCCGATGTACTTCGGCAGGTTCTGTATCTCCACCTTATAGATCTCGGAGGTGAACAGCTCTCCCTTGGTGTACCCGTACACGTCGGGGCCGGGCGTGGGGTCCCCCCCGGTGCCTCCTCCTCCTCCTCCTCCTCCTTCACCACCACCACCGCCGCCGCCATCTCCCCCTCCTCCTCCTCCTCCTCCTCCTTCTTCTTCTTCAGGCGCGGCCGCGCCGTTCCCGGCCGGCACAGCCACCTCCATCCCGCCGCCTGCTGAAGCCCGGCCGCGCCGCGCTGTTCACTGCTTCCTCAGGGAGCAGCCCGTTAACATTTACTTTATTTCTCAGCCCTGCTCCCCCTTCGCAAGCCCCGCGTCGCTCATAAGAACCGCGATAAAGCAAAGCGCAGCAGCCCGCGCCGCTCCCTCAGGCAGGCGGCCGCCATCTTAGGCGTGGGCGCGGGGCGGGCGCCGCCATGGCGCGGGGGCTGCAGGGACGGGGCGGGGCGGGGGCCGCCTCCCATCGGGCCTTGCGGCGGCGCGGGCCGCGGGCATGAGGTAAAGGCGGGAGGGGCGGCGGAAGCGAGCGGAGCGCAGCGAGCCCGGGCCCATGGCGGACACCAAGGTGCGGGAGCGCGGCCCTGCCGGCGCCGGCGGGCAGGCTGGAGCTTGGGGGGGGGAGCGCGGGGGTGGGAAGGGGGAGAGAAAGAGGCCGCGGGGTGGGGGAGGGGAGTAACGGAAACAGGTGGGGACGAGGCCTGAGGGAGGCCGCGGCCTCAGCCCCCCCCCCCCCCGCTCCCTCACGCTCGGAGGCCGCGGCCTCCCTCAGGGGCCGCCTGGGCGCTGTGGGAGAGGCGCCCCCCTGCCCGCTGCCCCCCTCCCTTTAATCCCCTCTCGGCGCAGCGGGAGCAGCCCCGGTGCCGCGGGCCTGTGGCGGCGGGCCCGGCCCTGCTGTTGTAACGGGCGCCGCTCGCACGTGGCCGCCGCCAGGGCCTGGCCTGGACCCAGCGGCCGCCGCTCCTCGGCCCGGCCCCGAGGCGGGAGCTGGGCCCGGCCGCTGCCCCGCGGGGCCTGCCCGAGCACAAGGCTCCCGGCCCGCCTGGGCTGGCCGGGCTCTGGCTCTCGGGAGTCGTTTGCAGCGCTTTGTGCCCTCTCGCTCCTTTTTTCTTTCTTTTTTTTTTTTTTCTTTTTGTTACTGAAGCAGCAGCACCAAAACATCGGGGCCCTTCACCTGAGCTAACCGCGTGCGGCCCCGTTAGGCTTGCGGATGGATTCCTCTCGCGGGCTGTGCCGGGGGCTGCCGGCAGTTGGCCAGCCACGCCGAGGGGTTCCGCAGCTCAGCGAACGTTGGGGCCGGTCCCAACAACCCGCGGGGAAGTCTCGCCTTGGCCATTTACCCGTTACAGTTCCCCCAGAGAGTGTAGCTGAAACGGAAAAAAGTTATGAGCAGTGTGACTGTGCTTCACAAACACCTCAGGTTGTGGGAGTTATAATACATAAGATGAGAATAATGAACTTACGCTGCCTTTCTGGATGTAAAATGTTTCTCTTTTTTTTTTTTTTTGCTGGATTTTCTTTTGTTCCTGCAGTAGTGATAGGTCATTAGCCACTAAGAAGTAGCAGTGTATTGGAAGCATAAAACATATTCAGCAGAAAGCTAATTGGTGCAGCTTTTCCATAACCAAAAGCTAGTGGGTAGAACTAAAACATCTAGCTGTGCAAGACCACTTTTTTCTTACTATAACTGTATGTTGACTTTAGAGCAATTAATTTTCAACTACAACTTTGGTTTATTGTTACACAATATTTCGTTTACTAATTTTTAATCACTGAGTAATCTTGAATTTAAGTATATAACAAATTTTTCTTTTCTTTCCCCCATTTCCTCTCTCCAGGAAACACATGAGGACCATGATACTTCTACTGAAAATGCAGATGATTCTAACCATGATCCTCAGTTTGAGCCCATAGTTTCCCTTCCTGAACAAGAAATAAAAACTCTGGAAGAGGATGAGGAAGAGCTCTTTAAGATGTAAGTAGAATACTTCTGCGTGTTATCTAGCTGGTTATTAGACTTTAACTTGAATGTTATTACATTAACTTGAATGTGTTACAAAAAAGCTGGTTAACTAGTTAGGAATAGTTAGGCTGGTATTTGCTGTGGTGGCAGAGATTGAGTGGGGGAATGATTAACAATAATGCCCCAGGAAATTGATTAAGGTCTGGAACAGTACAGGGAGAATATGATATTATGAATCTGGCTTTAATATTATTTTGTTTAGCCTAAAAGAATGCATTAACTTGAATAATAATTTGAGGTCTGAAGGTGTGTAGTCACAGTATAAAACAAATAACAGAGAAAAGGATTTTTTTTTTTGAATGCTGGTTGTTCTGGTAGCTAAAACTAGAGGAGTTACTTAGTGCCATTTGGGCTTAGGAGTGACTTGCTTTGGACCACAGTAGTTCATCTGCATCAGAGTCTGTGAGAAGTCAAACATCCAACACCTTCTCTTGAAAACTCTTTTTCATTACAAGCCACATCCCTTGCTCTTGTATAGAGAAGTAGAACACTGAGCTTCTTCCTGAATATTTCTGTAGTGATCACTAACTTCTGCTTGCAGCAGGGACTGCACTTCTGAAGTTCTTAAATTGTGTCTCCATACTGATGCTTTCTTGCTACATCTAGAAGACCAATGTAGAATTTGTGCTTTTACCTGACATGTACCTATTTGGAATTAGTGTTGCTTGGGCATGAGGCTAGATATATTTTATCCTGTAGTGTGAGCAGGTGCTTCTTTTCATGTTAGCAGTGTCTTAAGCTCTTCAGACTATCTCTCTAAGGTCAGCATTGACTAATCTCCCAAACTATTGCTGTTTCTTCTTTGGTACACTGCCATCTTGGAAAATTAAAGAATGAAGTTCTGAAGCAGGTATGTTGCACTGCAGTGCAGCACTAAGTTTCTTTTATTCTGACTTGAAGAATAGCAATAGCTAGGCATTTGGAGATGAAGGGAAAGGAAATGAGTGGCTCTAAAGGGTGAGGCACTTTGTTAACCTTAGATCAAACACTGGGCTTGGAATTATACAAGAGTCTTAGTCTTGATCTAGCTGTTTGGTTGCTACAGCCAACCAGCAATATTCTTCATTCAAGCAATTGTATTTTCTAATACTCACCTTGCTATGCTAGGTATAGCAAAGCCTGTTAATTATTCATTAATTTAAAAGGTTATGCACACCAGATACGTTTATCATCCTCCCCAAAAGTGTGTCCAGGACATAACGAACTCCAGTGTATGTTATGTATTTCCTAATGGCTTGTTGTTAAACTTGAATATATAATATCAGTTTCTAATGCTACATGCTGAATAAAAGCCTGGGTTTAAAAAAAAAAATGCGTGGCTTAAAAAAACAACAGAAAATCCACTGTATTGTACTCTTGAGCATGTTGTTTCAATAAGTGTTTTTACATACAGGCTAACTTCTGAAATTCTCTCTTCTTTAAGGCGAGCAAAACTTTTCCGATTTGCATCTGAGAATGACCTACCAGAATGGAAAGAACGAGGAACTGGTGATGTAAAACTCCTGAAACACAAGGAGAAGGGAACAATTCGCCTCCTCATGAGGAGGGATAAAACCCTAAAAATCTGTGCAAACCATTACAGTATGTTATGTTGATATACTTGCTTTTTTTTTTTTTTTTTTTTTAAAAAAGTCTGATGAAGCTTCATAAATCGAAGGTTAAGAGCCCGGTGGCTTTTTAGAAGCAGCTAGGGAATGGCTGCATCTTAAAGCAGATGTCCAACTTATATTACTGTAAATACAGTCATGTGTTGCTCTGTGCACAAGACTACAAGTATCAAAACCATAAACGCTTATTTTTATTAGCATAAGGAAGCTGTAGTTGGTTTTGGGAACAGCCTGCAATGCTGACTCTGACAGTGTTACTCTTTTTTTCTTCAAACTAATGGTGTTCTAAAGACACTTTATCTTGAGTAGACAGACAATGTTCGCTTACTTTGTCATGCTTTTACAAAAACAAGCCAGAACATATATTCTTATACCTTATAATGAACGGTATTGAGGCCTCCACTTTCTGCATTCATTTAAAAACAAAATATTGAGAGCAATCATAATAATTTAGCATCCCAAGTTAAATGGCTGAAATGGTAGAAACAATACTTCTGCATTAGAAGGCAGATACTGAGGTGCTAAACTTGTCTGGCAGCCTTTCTCTGCTAGTGAAGCAGACTGAAATGAAAGGGGTATGTTCAGCTGATTTATTCAAAAATAATATGTATTGAGAGCTGATGGAGCAGGAAGGGTTTGTTCCTTTAATTCTCTTTGAATAAAAATAAATGTGAAGTGAAAACAAATTTGAAAGTAAATTTAGCAACAAGTAAACCAATTCAGTAATGCTTCATGTTACTTGATTGCTTTGGTAGTATGCAGGTTTATATAAAGGTATCTGTGGAGTTAACTTACATTTAGGTAAGTTTGAAGTACTTGCTTAATGCAACTTCATACAAGTCTGTAGTCAGAAACAATGATTAATTTCTTTGGGCATATCTTTTCAGAAGGTCAGATTTCAGAACTCAGGTGTTCCTGTTTAGTAAAAATGGTGAACAGAAAAGCAGCATAGTCACCAACCAAAAGTAATAAACCTTTTGTTTAGGAAAATAACCTCTGCAAGTGTGTAAAAACTGTTCATAGTTGACATATCTGTAGTGTCCATGTAATCCATTTTTTTCCTGGAAAATCTACTTGCAGTATAGATTTCTTTACTGAATTTATGATGATTCACATACAGACAAAAGGACTCTTCATTTATGCAAATGTTAGGTGAAACAAAACATAATCCCATCTCTAAATTAAAAAATGCAAGGGAAGGAGTTGACTATCTTCAGATTCTCAGATGTGGGTAGTACGTTACTTTTCAGTGTGCGAAAGAATGCTGTTTTTCTGTCTGTGTGCCTTTTCTTCATAAACTATTTGACTGTTTCTCAGAGTTATGCTTAGTGTCTGCATCACTTACAGTGCAGCAGTCATCTGTTTTAAAACAGAATTGAATTAAGAATTTAATTAAGAAATGGAGTTTAACTAGACAGTGGTGAATCCACCATTCTTCTCTATAGCAATGATGTTGCATCATTTTGAGGATGTAAAGAAAATTATACTGGGCACTCTTTTCTATGTATCAAGAAAGTATTTTTCTGTAAACTGCTTTACATAAGCATCACAGTCAGCTATCCATAAGATGTATGGAGGCTGGTGTGGAAAACATTTACTATTGTGCTCTGTACCACTTTAATGCTTGCTTTTCAGTCACACCCTTAATGGAGTTGAAGCCTAATGCTGGAAGTGACAGGGCATGGGTCTGGAACACACATGCTGACTTTGCAGATGAAAGCCCCAAGCCTGAACTTCTGGCAATCCGTTTCTTAAATGCGGAAAGTAAGTGAACTGGTGCTGAATTTGTGTTGATTGTATGCTGTATGTTATGCTACAGGTCCAAACACTAGTGTAAACCCGTTGCACATAAAGCATAACTTAGTGCTGCACAGTAGCATTAGCTAATTACTGCTTTAACTGAGAGAAGTCAGTTAATCATTTCACCATACATGCTGGCATACAGTATAATAATTAGATCTGGAGTAGTATTTACAGAGCTCTATGCTCCAGGAAACTTTTTTTTAACTTACACTGTTTCATGCAAGTGTAATGCTAATTAGAGTAAAACTAAAAGCAGCAATGCTGTGTGGGTAGAGTTTAGTATATGCAGCTTGTTTTCATTTGTCTCAGTTGTTCAGACCCCATTCTTGTACTAGAAGCAAGGAAAGGAAATACTGACCTGAGATGTGGTTTATCTGACTTAGCAGAAGATGTTTTTATAAAATAAAGGATGTAGCATCTTGGTTTTGATTAAATTGAATGTTTGGTTAGTGAAATCAAACCTGACTCTTATACTAGTTGGTGTTGTTTTCTGGAGTCACTATGCTGACTACCAGAATAGAGTAGGTCTCTAATTACATGTGGATCAGCTAGTAGGGCTGAGTGCCACTGCAGCTTTTCCAGCTTTGTGGGATGATTCTAGGAGTTCATTAATATTTTTTTTCGGGTGGGGGGGGTAAGGAAGGAAAAATGTCCTTGCTTTACTACCTACCACACAAGTAGTTAGTGTATTAGCCACCTTTTCCTTCTGTATGCTAGATGGTAATGAAGTAGCTCTGTATTTTGAAATGCACCCTTTCTAGTCCAGCATATTTCATATAGTAATGCAATCAGCTTAGCTTTTACCTTTTTCTTGGTGCCAAACTTCTAGGTATAGGCTGACCTTTTTAATGTTGATAGTGTACCAAGGCTATATGGAAATGCCATGAGAGAAATACTACCTTGTTTGCATACCCACGGGATGGATTTGCCTGCATCAAGGAAGAATGTAGCAGATCTCATTGCTTTCTTTTCTTCAAGTCTCTAGTATATTGTTTAGCCATATATGTGGTGCACCTGCTTAGTGCTTGCTTGCTTCTTAAATATGAAATGAAAAGGTTTGGGTAATCATTTGCCTACGTTTGCAAAGTCTTTCCCTCTTTTCAGTGAGGTTATATAGGTTATTAAGGGTATTGTCTTCTGTATTGATAGTTGTCATCTTTGTGTGTTTACACTTTGCAGTACTGACTAAGCAGATAACAGGTGAACAGGCATAAATGTGTCCTTCATGCATCTTTTCTTTTTGAGCTGCTTAAAAAAAGTTAGTATTTTCCTGAGCTAGTTTCATGGTGGCTTCTGAATTTACTGTGGGGGCAACAGTGACCTCATGTGGTCAGTAGTACCAAGCTGGCATACCATGCTAATGCTTCTATAGTTAGGGTGTTAGGAAATACCTTGACTGATCAGCTTTTGTCTCTGTTTGTTTTATTTGTGTATAAACATTATTGTAGCTTGATTAAGCAACTTAGACATATGAGGAATCTGTGCTTCCCTAGCTGCTGTAATCAGGAGCAATTTAAGTCAAGGTCTTCAGGTACTGAATCTGAATACTCTAGTAATAGGTTTTATCTTCAGTACTTAATGATGATGCCCTAAGTTATGGTACAGATCTGAAGTTCTTTTGGGGTATAACATAGTGGAGATGGAGTGTACCTCAGGGCTAATCCTCAGTCTTCTGCACTGTCATATTAGTGGTCTGTCATTCTTATTTATAAAGGGCAGGAATAGCTGGACTACAAAGAGGACTCCAGAAAGAGCTAGTTTTAAATATTTTCAAGGTGCAAAATAAAAGGCTCTGTTAGACTTGCTAAAGACAAACTGCTTCTGCACAAAGATGGCATTGGAGACCTTTGCACAGCACTCTGATTTTAAACTAGGTCGCTTTATAACTGCCTGCAAGTTTTGTTTATGCAAAACTTTTGATTTTGAGGGAAGATACTTGAGAAGTATTTAATGTTACAGGGAGATAAAGCTAATAAATATTGTCTTTACTGAAACAGATGCACAGAAATTCAAAGCGAAGTTTGAAGAATGCAGGAATGAAGTAGACAAGAGAGCAAAGAAAGGTAAGGTTAAGTCTTAAGTATTGTACCATGCTGCTCTTCTTGTTTGAGTGGTTATAGCTCCCTGGAGTATCATGGTGTTTGAGCAGACTCACTCTGTACCGAACTGCAGGCTTCAGTTCAGGTGCTTTTTCTGTCTGCGAGAGCAGTAGTTCACAGGCATGACAAATGCCTTCTTTTTTTTGTAGAAGGCTGTTAAAATTGCTTTTGGGACATGGCTTTATTAGAACTGCTACTAAAGAAGCTTTTCTGGTTTATCGTATACAAACTGAGCACTGCAACCACAGTAGTGTTTCCTTCCAGTTTACTTGTGGAATTTTGGGAGGGAATCATGAAAGCAGGATACTCTGCTCTTATAGTTGTTAATGTGAAGAAACGCTACAGTTTCATTTACAGGTCTTTTTAACAGCTTAATTCATTGCATTTTGTAACTGTCTCTGTGACAAGACAGCTTACCTTGTAAAATAAACATTTCCATCTTCCTGAAGTAGAGATTACAAGCAGTCTGCAGTCAACACTCCTGATATTTACATGAGAATTTTTCAGTCTTAAGAACTTCCTGTCTGTCTCAGTTTCAAACATCGGGGAACTTGGGTTTCGTAAGGATGTTTTTAATTTAAGATAGGCAAAAGCTAGGGACTTACGACATCTACTTGACTGGATGTTTTTGGAGTCTGTTACTAGTAGCATCAAAGCTGACCAAATGTTACATGTTTCTCTGTCACTATGATTACACATTCATTTTGTGATTAAAATTCTAGCATCAGGGGTATCTATCAAAGGAGAAGAAATCATTCCAGTGATCAATAAAGAACTTCTTTGCTTTTGTTCTTATTCTAAATACCAGCCATCTCTCTCCTCCCTGCCCTCCTTGTCCTCTGCTTCTACTTCCCCTGTTACAGGAAGATTGACTGCTGCCTGTATGTAACTTTTTTTGTCATTGATCTCTTAGCAGGCACAGACAAAAATGATAGCGCTGATAAAGTTGCTGAAAAACTAGAAGAGCTTTCTGTAAAGGAAGAGAGCAAAGAATCTGAGAAGAAAGAGACCAAGGAAAAAAATGAAGAAAAGCAATAAGTCATCCTGGGCCTTGCAGTTTTTCCTTTATAATTTTTCTTTTTCTTCCTTTTTTCTTTTTTTAATTTTTATTTTTACAAGGGACTTTATAAGGAACTGAATTCAATGTTCAGGTTGTTTTTTCTAAGCTTTTGCCCTTTTGAAGATGTCTTCAGAAAATCCATTCCCCAGTCATGAAAATGTACTGTGCTAACTTTCTTTTCCATAGTGGAAACACTTATTTATGGTCATCCAAAAGAGTGAATAAAACAAACTTGAAACAGCATCAGAGGACAGAACTGAGTTTTCTATGTAGTTTAAAGGCTTATGAATACACTTGTTTCATTGGGTGTTGAGAATCATATCATCATACCTATGGATTGACTAGGTTCATAGACTTTACCAACAGGGAAGATTAAGACTGCATACATGTTTTTATGGCTTCTGAAACTGTAATGTAACAGACCTTTCACGCCCTTCCCTGCTGAGTGTTCCTGAGCAGGGATTGTGCCTGTGATTCTTGAAATACAGCTGACTTGTGGCATCAGCTGATAGAGCATTCCTGGCACACTATTACTGATGTTTCATTAGACAGGGAAAACAAAGGTGGGGGAAGAAATGTATTATGTGAGACCTGAGTAGCATTTTCCTTTTATGAAACAAAATTTCACCCCTGCTGCTTATGAAAGTCGTTAATATTAAAAATACTGGAGTCTAGCACAAAGTTGTAGCTGTTGTCCCAGATCTTCCATGATGTGCTTCTGACTGACTAAAGGCAGTCCTGGTCTCTTACACTAAGGCATATACGACAGAGTTTGGGTACCTTGCCCTGTGTCAGCACATAACAGTTAAACTCTAAAACTTATAAGCTTTTTCCAGGGCCTTGGAGCTTATGGTGTTTTTCAAAAATTGGAGTGTTTTTAACTTGTAAGATGCGTGGTGGGAGGCTGTCCCTCTTGAAAGGAGGAATTCTGACATTCACTTAAGTCATTTAAGTGTGTTGTACACACTTAAGGGGCAATCTTCTTGCCAATGATGGGCAAATGATCAAATCTCTCCCATGTGAGCATTTACTGTTTGTCTGGTCTCAAGTTACTGCTAGAGAGTAGAAGAAATTATAGCAAGTGATAAAATCAACACAACTTAAGTCTTATAGATTGAGTTTTGTTTTTAACCACTAATACAAGGATAGCATTAGATAGCAATGGAATTCTCTATTACCATTCCCACAACTATGAAAACTGGACAAAACTTGCTGAACTTCTTATGATATTACTATCAGATAGCAAGACCTTTTTATCTTCGTAAAAAGGCTCTCTAAGTAGATCAGACTTTGCAATCTACCTGAGGAAAATATATTAAAAAAAATTCTTGTATTTCTACTTAGCACTGCCTTTTGATGCTACCATGAACTAGTCTTAAGTCTGGAACTGTAATTAAGGTACTCACTTCGTTCAAACAAAGTAATTCCTTTGGTGTTGTGCATGTTCCACTTCAAGTACGGCAGATATCAAAAGTCTGTTAATTAACAAAGATGGTTGAAAGGCAAAATAAAATGTTTTTTAGTGTTTCTGGTTTGGAAATAAGACAAAGTTCTTCTGAAGTACTTAACATTTGAATGTAAAAGCCACATCTTTATCCATGAGTCACTGTAAATTCTCTGATCTGATAATGTCAAACAGTGTGTCTAAATTGATAGAAATGACATTTAAAAACTTCAAAATAAATTTAAATTTTCATTTAAAGGATTTGCTGTTTATTTAAAGTTAACTCTTACTGGGAATGTATTTTTAGCCTGCAGGGGCAAAGTGTGGTGGAAGCAACAAAACGTATGGGTTTGATTTCACTATCAAATCTTGTGCAGAAATCTTGTGCAGAAGGCAGGAGGAAACAATTTGTTTAATGTTAATATTGACAGTGCCTGTTTAATTTTATTAACTTCTTTCTCCTTCCCCCTCCCCCTTTTTCACTTTTTCACTTATTCATGCATACTTAATTGATTTCAAGACATTTCCCTTCCTGTTTAGGTTAACTGATCCATGTTTACAGTTCATGGATTACAGTCATCCTTAGTGCAAGTCTGCAATCTCCAAGAGCCAAGTTATAAGGACTGCTAAGTAAAATATTTCCTCTGGTTAGCGTTTGGTTGAAGAACATGTCTGTCTTCTAAACTGAAGACTGGCTAGTCAATGTTCTGATTGTTTAGAAGCCATAGGTGTGCTGCGCTACAAATTAAAAAGTAGTAAGTATTCTGAAAGTTAATCTTGATGAAATAAGGTTTTTAAGTCAGTCTGATAATGAACTTTAATGTGTACATACCACAAGCTTCCAAGAGATGCCTTCAAAATGTTTTTATAGCTTTCTGTATACTGAGAATTGTAGAGTTCTAGTTGATATATCTTGTGTACTGTTCACCACCCCTCTTCCAGTAGTTACTAGATACTGAACATTCACGCTTTCCCATTTTTACTATGATGGTATTCTTGAGACAACAGAATCTGGCCTGTCTTTTTGGACAATAGGCAATCTTGAAATAATAAACTTGGCTCAAAAGTGGAAATAATGCTTTGACAAAAAGGCAGGCTTGTAATGTAAGAATTCTTTCATGAATTTGTAGGCAACTACAAGTGCCATATGCTAGTTTTTAAAATCACAGTAACGAGTATGATTTAAATATCTGAACCCGTCTGAAGGTATTGTCATATAAAGAATGCGTCCTGCGAAACTGTTCAGATGGTATAGAAATCCAGTGAATCTTTAAATATCTGCACCTTATTGAGGTATATTGGTACTTTCTTCATCAACTTGGAATCCAGGCTATATGAAGGCTATTTTACAAGGCTGTGGTAGTGTATGCTCTTCTCTAATTCCCTTCTGCACACTGCAAAGCAAGGTAACTCCTAGCATGCTTAAACATAGACAAAAATCATGGGGAGTTAGTTGTGTTAAGGTAGCCAGTTAGAGAGTTTTTAAGCACTTCTATAACTGAGAGATTACTGGGAATATGACAAATCTTACAGAAAAATCTTACAGAAAGTGCAAGTGAAACTTTTTAGGAGGATTTAATGTGTTCTTAATAAAACTGGAAACTGTAATGAGATTAGTGAAGTATTGTCAGGTGCTAATTTCTGTAGCTTGTACCAATTCTTCTTGTTTCAAGTGTAAAAAGATGTAATCTAGCCAGGCTTAATAACCCAGCCTTTGTTGGTATGAATGGTTTTATGTGCAGAAAAAAGGATGGATGAGTGTCTGAGGACACCTGAATGAAGAATTTAACTTCAAAATAGTTTTTGGTGCTCATCAGAAAACATCATGTACTTAACAGATATTTAAGTCTGTTTTTAAGACTGAGTTTATTATTATAAAAACAAATTTGAAGTAATTCTTCACAAATTGTACATTATTTTGGAGACTATGCTTCTTTCTTCAGGAGTAGGATTGTATCAGTGATACAATACGTCTCATTCACAAGTTGCTGACAACCCCATCTTGCTGTACTTTAACACTGTAAATGATAATTTTCCTGTGCAATAAGGTAGCTTGTATCAATTACATTTTCTGTGACACTAAAACCTCAAAAAATTAAAATTCTTAACACTAAGCAGACATGAGAATGTTGTGGATTCTTAGTGATGCAACGTGCTCAAGAAATGCTTGTATTTTACGTACAAGAGTACAAGACTGAACAAACGGTCCAATTTTGTTCTAAATGTCTTGAAACTGACTTGAATAAAAGTTGAAAGAATTAAGTGGAAAAAAATGAGGGATTAATTTGTATATATATCTTCACTCTGGAAAGAACTGTGGTGAGGATATACCCAAGATGATGAGAAGGGATGAGTTCTGGAGACAGACCAGCTCTTCTCTTGCTCTGTGTAGATGGTGGGGAAGCATTTGGCTCAGAAAGTATCCCCAGCCTGGGCTGCCTTTCCTGCCTGTGAGGCAGCATCTGCAGCTCAGACCAGCTGTACCAGCAGTAGTGTGAATTTTCTGGGTTGAGAATTCATCGGGTCCAGAAGGTGGATGCTGTGTTCTATGGCTAATGAGTCGTGATGAACTCTGACATCTCCATCTAACATTTCAAGAGAAATGCTATGCCTTTTGCTGCTTCATGTTCCAATGTGTTCACTTGAATAACTGAATGGAAATGTTAAATGCTAGTATAAAAAAAAAAAAAGTTTAGAAAACTCCATTTGATATTTTATTAATATTGAATAATTGCAACTATTTGTGTAAATACTGAGATGGGGGGATTATAAAACTGACATTATTTTGATCTCCTGTACAGATTGTCAGCAGCTTTCCAATGTGGTTATTACAAAAAAAAAAAAAAAAAAAAACCTCTCCAATCCATCTGAAATTGAAGGCTTCATAGCCTGTGTTTATGTACTTCTGTTCCCAGTATGCCTGTATATTCTGGCTGGTCATGCTTGTTTCTGACAAGCTGTATTTTCTAAGCTGTATATGGCAGCTAGTGTCTTAATTCTTGATTAGACAAACTGATTTCAAAGCGTCTTTTAAGCTGAAATCTTGTCTATGTGTAAGCTTGCGCTAGTTAATTGGTGAGGTGTTTGTAAAGGTGTGTTGTGTTTTTTTTTAATTCTTGCTTTTATGATGGTTTCTGTAGGTTTTAAAATCCTTCCAAATTAGATTTAGCTAAAATTACTCTTGCTTTAAAACAAGAGGAATGATCCAGTCCTTTGCTAACCCTGACTAAATCTTTGACAATATATCGTTTTCAGAGTCAGGAGATAATGAAAACTAGCTGCAACAGATCAGAATTATTTTGTTTGTTGAAGAAAAGTTTGAAGTGATCAGCTGTAGAGTGGATCGTACATGTAAGTGATTTCTCAGACTGTAGTTTAAGTGAAAACAAGATGCCCTCTCAACTGAGAAGCTTGTGCAATTGCATAGTAAGGAAATCTTAAAGTTGTGAAAATGGACATGCATAGGAAAAAAAAAACATATTTAGAGCTGGATAATAGCTAGAGTTATTAGTATCTACAGCAATAAGTATCTTAGAGATTTGTACTCTGGCATTTTTTCAATAGGCAAATTTAAGTATAGAGTGTTTTTGTCCACTTCTGCCACATTGGACACTAGACACTTAAAAGTCTTTCAAATATGAAAAGGTCTTGAGTGTAAGTAGTTTGCTAGTCTCCTGGTAAAAAGGCAACCTATGTTAGTTCCTTAAAGTATTTCTATTAAAAATAATGAAGCGTTAATAGTGAAGCTAGAGTTTGTGGTATATAGTTATGCTTTTAACCAACATAATGACAAATGTATTAAATACAGAGACCAGTTTCTAGCACAATTCTGTGTTAAGTACACAGTACTGCAAACATTTTAATTTTGCAGGTGTCTGCCAACTTGAAGTATTTCATAAGCATTGTACTCTTAACTTTTGTTTTCAGCTTTAAGTCCAGTTTTTTATTACTGTCTATCAGTCTTCACTCTGCTAACTTATATCAGATAGTTCATTGTCATGTAGATACTAACTGTTGTATCAAGATGTGCATTTTATTCCTGAAATAAGTTAATGATGTCACAAGCTCTTGTCTGCATACTGTGCTGACTGTCCTCATTTCAAGCAGGTAAAAGTATACAGCTTTCTAATGTTGTTTTTCCATAAAAGCCATTATAGTTATGTAAGTATCCGAAAAAGATGGTTTGGGTATTAAAATGACCAAATAGCTTGTAATCTTTGGAGGGTATTTCACAAGAATATCCTACAAGGTGCAATTAATGTTACATTGTTTCACATTATTTTATAATTATCTTAATTTATTTGCTAGTATATGCTTTATGGTTCGCTTTCTGAGTTTCAGCAGCATCATTTGGAGTAATATTCCATACTGGCAGAGGAGAATTACACTTTATAAATCGTTTTATAAATCGATGGCTTGTGAATCTTAAGCCGTTCAGATGCCTATGTTATTCTGAGTAGCTCCTTGTGGGAATCGCCTAGGAACTCGTGTGTCGGTAAAGTAATCTAAACCTCATAATAACTGTAAGTTGACATGCCCCATCACTGCAGTTGGGAAGTGCATGTTACACAAGTTCTTCTATCTCATACGTCTTAAGTGAATCCTGTTCCATGGAAAATGTTGATGTGAGATTTCTGTTCAGGCTACTGTTAATGTCTTGATAAATCTAGTACTAAATAAACTCGAACAACTAAATGAAAATGGTCATAATAAAGTTCCAGTGAGTAACGTAGTGGGCCTTGTTTGTACCCATAAAAAGCCTAGCCATTCTTGGACTTCTTGCCTGCACTATGTTGTGCCTGGTGACCCAAGTGTCCTCCGGTTTGGGCACTGTAAGTTTAAAAGAAAAACAGCATTTACTAAACACCTGATTGCTGAACTTTCAGTGACCCTGAACATTTTGCAGATCACTGGTACTGCACAGGCTGGCGAGTACATTTATTATGGTAGCAAGTCCAGTAAGAACAGGAGAATGATTTATTCTGATCATTGTTTAATGACAACAGCTAATATGAGCTGGGAGCTAAATTGCCTAGTGACCAGTAAAAGATGCCAGGGATTTTCAGTACTTGAAAGTGTGCAAAATAAAAGGATTTTTATCTGTTTAGCTGCTTCCCAGCTAGTGTTGATGTCATTATTTCATATGAAAAGTGCGTGGCAGTCAGGCTTTCCTGATGCTTCCTCTGCCATGTGTTTCCTTTTGTGTTACGAGCTGTCAGAGCGGTACCCCAGCATGTGTCTCCAACACAACTTCTGTGGATGGCCCTTTCTCCTTGAGGATAAAACCTCAGAGTAAAATCTTACAAAAAGACATGCAGTTACTAGCCAGACTCTGCCGGATTATTTTTAAATTGTTCTTTGTAGCTGTATTAGTTCTTTGGGTAGTCATTAAATCTTTTTCTAACTCATGCTGCCATCCCTGTTTACCTCAGGGCTGCCAAAACCTTCTGGCACACTTATCACGTAGTGTGAATCCAGAAACTACAGCCCATGAAATAAAGCTGTTCCAGAAGAGCAGTTCTGAGACATGCCTGTTCTGCTTGAGTCAGGTCCTCCTCAGGCGTCGTTACTGCTTGAATCCTAAAGTGATCTCCTGGCTTTCAGTATACTTGCCTTTTAATACTGAGACTGAACATTGCTCGGCAGTGCTTTATTCTGTCTTGAAAGTAGGTATTTTCAAGAACTGGAACGTTAGTGGGAAGGATATCAGTGAACTGGGGGAATTGTTGGACCCCCCAAATCCCACCAATTTGTTGCTTTCTGATAAATAATCTGCAACGTGCAGCACACACAGAAATCATCTCGAAACACATCTCTGCCTTATACTGCCTTGTAACATGGAGCGTCTGAACCTTCTTTTGAAAATGCTGGTTCTGCATGACACACTGTTGCACAGATAAAGTATCTGGATCCAGAGGATGACTGTGCAGACCAGGCTTGCGCTGCGATCTTTAAGATCAAGTAAGGGTTGGAGATGTGCCCTTTTTGTTGCTATGAAAGCTACAACTCTTAATCCCATACCACATGCTCACAGTTATCTTTTAGTGTCCTTCTCTGCAACAGTGTTGCATGACTGGAGGACTAAAAATAATAATAAAATCATATTTGCTTGCTGCTAAGTACCTCTCTTCATAAGGTAATTGGCTTGAAATTCTGGCCCTCTGAGTGGGGCTGTTATGGTGAGGCTGTGGAGATGCACTCGGGTGCCCAAGTGGTAGGAAAGCCATGCTGTAGGGTGGAAGGAGCAGGAACACTGAGTCCTGCCTGCTTGCAAAGCTGCATTTGAGAACTAGGCTTTCTAGCGTGGTGAGAATCCCTACAGGAAAAATACAACTGAAAGTGATGAGGTGCAGAGAACAGAGTGGGAATAGTCTTCCTTAAGTGTAGCTCCTGTGTTCACATCAAGGGACGTTGCCGTCCTTTGTGGTAACTTGCTACTTTTCAGAAAGGCCTTGTCCTTAGACAGAATTAAATTTTAAATAAATCACCAACCTCCAAATACGTACCTTGAAAGGTACTTGTGGAGACCCTCTTGCATATCCATGCTGAAAATGCAAATCTGACAGCCACTTGAGCGGGGAGATAACTTCTTGACTAATTTTCAAGCCCTAAGAAGTGTAGAGTAAATCTCTCACTGTCCATTAGAGGATGCTAACCAAACTTTGTAAGCTGTCTGTAATACTTCATGTAACATTTTCCAGTTTAAAATGAAATCAGTGTAAAAATATCAGGGTTCTGTTTGCAACTATGAAATTTTTCACCAAGAATGTTGGCTGAATGGGGAGGAGGACAGGGCCTGAACTGATGGAAGTGATGGTGTCTCTGCCTAGTTTGTGCAAGTAGTGCTAGACTGCAAGGTCTTTTGGGGAAGTTCATTTAGAACTAACGTGTTATATGGATGTGTTAGGTGTGCTCCTAAAATGCATCTTCTGGTTAAGTTTTATTCAAAAGGAATGTAGCTTTGTACTTTGAGGCCACTCAGCAACATGCATCAAACCACGGTACATGAGGGTGACTGAGAGATTTGCTTCCAAGGTACACCTTGGATCCAACTTAATATGCCGGTGGATTTGCACCTGAAGGCTTTCAGGTTAGTATGCAGAGTCTGATTCTGTGTGAAGTTACTGACCTTTTGATTAGTTGTGAGCATTTTAAGAATCATTTATTTCAATAACCTGGCATGACAGTGAGGAGTGAAGCGTAGGAAATAACGTACCCTAGGCATTCAAAAGTAACCAAGTTGTTTTCCTTTCTTTACCTCAAAAACCTGAGTTTGGAGCTCATTTTAAATTGCCTTTTGGCTTTAGTCCCTTTTGGATAAACCCTGGCACTTTTAAAGTTGTTCTCAGAGTGCTGAGAATACTGATTGGGGGGGGGGAAGGGGGGAAGAGAGAGCAGTTACTAGCAAAAGCAGATTTCACATAACTATATACCTTCAGGCTGGAACTTGCTGGATTTGCTTATATTTAAAGCTGATGCTCACAATTTTATTGCAAACCTTGCAAAGCGGAGAGCCTGTACTTGCTTTTTTGTTGGATTTTTCTTGTTCTGTTCCAAATACCTCGAGGACTGTAGAGCTCACCCAAGTCTCTTAAAATGGTGATTGTTACTGTCTCTCCAGAACAGGAGCCGGGTGCATACCTTGTAAGGTAAGTTTACTTTGCAGCCCCAGCAGAAGCCGTGAAGGTGGCTGTCATTGTCTGATGCCGTGGGTGCTTCACAGGCCTGTTGGCAGCTGCAGAGGGAGCCTGGCTGAGGAGGAAAACAGGAGCGCTGGGGCAGGCTGCAGCTCCTGGGCTCGATGCGTGAATTTCCGAGTGGCCTCGCACCCTGCCCCCCTGCGAGGCTTTCCCGGTGCCTGCGCAGAGCTGCCTGCTGCGAGCGGAGCAGCCGCTTTGCACAGCGCTCTCTAGAAAGCCTTCTCGCTGAACTTGGCGATCTTACCTTAAATCACCTCTGTATTTCTGCCTGCTGGCGCCCGGGGCTCGCTGCGGAGGGCAGCAGGGCGCCGCTCGGGCCGTGCCGCTCCCGCTGCCCGCAGCAGCAGCCCCGGGGCCGCCCCGCAGCCTCTGGGGGCGCCCCCGGCCCCCTCCCCCGAGCTCGCTGCCGCTCCCTCCTCCTCCACCCTCCCACAAAGAGCACGGCGGCGCTCGGCCGGCCCCTTCTCCCTCCTCCTTTCCTCTCCTTTCCTTCCCCTCCCCGAAAAACCCAGCGCTTCCCCTCGGCGCGGCGGCCGGGTGCCTCGGGAGGGGCCGAGCCGAGCCGAGCCGCCCGCAGCGCTACCTTAAGGGGCTGCTTGACATCAGCCGAGGGGCCGGGCGGCGGGGGTGGGATTTCCTGTGCTGGAGGTCAGCCGGCCCGGTTCCCCCTGCCGGTTCCCCCTCCCCGCCCGTGCCGGAGGCTGCCCGCGTCCTCCCGGCCCCCCGCTCCCGGCTCGGCTCCGCACAGTGATGTGTAAGCCACAGGATGCCCAGCAGCACCGGCAAGAGGTTTAAACCGACGAAATACATCCCCGTCTCCACAGCGGCCGCCTTGCTAGTGGGTTCGACTACTTTATTTTTTGTTTTCACGTAAGTAACGCCGCGGGGCGAAGCGGTGGGAGAGGGGGGAGGCCGGGCTCGGCTCCTCCAGGCCCGGCTCGGCCCGGCGCGGCTCTGCAGGGGCTGCCGCTCGCTGACAGCCGGAGCCACCATTTCGCGCACGGGAGCCGTCAGGCTGCGGCGGGGGGTGCCGGCTGCCGGCTGCCCTGCTGCTGAGAGGGGCCGGGAGGCCGGGCAGGAGGCAGGGAGGCCGGCAGGAGGGAGGCAGCCCCCGGCTGCGCACCGCGGCTTTGCCCGGCGCAGCGCTTGGCAGCGGCAGCGATCCCGTCCCAGGCGCTCGGTGCTGCCCGGCTCGGGGCGTTTTTTATGTAACGGCCCCCCCGGAGCCCCAGGAGCCCACGGGCAGGTTTGGATTTGCCGCAGGGAGGGAAGGGGAAACTTTTTTCCCCACCCTTCCCCCTCCCTTCGTTTCCTCTGCTCCCGCTCCCACCTCCCTCAGATGCAGAGCGGGGCTCTGGCTTCACAGCCCCTGTCGGTGTATTAATATGTGAGCGGCGTGCTGCTTTGCCTCGCCGGGTCCTCTCCCTTTACATAAACTTGAGTTATGAAGAGCCTTAACCCCTCCTTCGCCGGGATGGCAGCGGCTGCCCTGCAAAGGCATTGCTGCTATTTCGAGGGAGCGATGCTGCAAAACCGCTCTGAGGGGAGCTTTGGCTAAGCTGCTTTTCGGGGAGGTGAAAAGATTGCTGTGCGGATATTAAGACCGACTGGCTTGCTTATTTTGAAACCGTGCGCCGTGTTTTGCCATTGCTAATTTTTAATTGAGCTGAATGAAGCCCCAGGAGCAGAAGGCTGTGTAACTGGGGCAGTACGTGTCCACCTCGGTACCCTTCGGAGTGTCACCGTAGGACGGCTCTCAGCGCGTCCAACTGCTCGTTACTGCTGTGGCAGTCTTAATGTAGGATTCCAGAATAAAATGCAAATGTTGTGTTGTCTAACAGATCTTTAAAATCAGAACAGCTTTTGGCACTGAGTTATGCTCTTGGCTTAATGTGACTTGACTTCTGATTGCTTGTTTTTAATGCATTTGATGGGAAGATACGGGTAAATCCTTTCAGGATATTGCACTGTTTCAGCACAAAGAGCTGGTACAAGTATAAACCCATCATTCATCGTTTGGGCATCTAATTATAGCTGGGTCCTCGCAGGCAAACAGAAGGCAGAAGTTGGCTTCTGTGCTGAACTTGGCTCACACTGGCGTGGTGTTTGGGTTGTTGTTTTGCATGGTTTCAGAATCCAAAAAAGGGGTCTCGATGCCAGCGCTTTTCTTTTCCTGCACCTTGAGAAATGGATGCATGCTGCGGTTGTTTTGGGAGCTGTATGTTTGTTTTCATGCCATACTTCGAATGTAGAGCTACAAATTGCCTCGTGATGTAAGACTTTCCTGGTAACACAGTTGTTGTTGAAACATCCTTTTGGCAGCAGGACATCAACTGAGGTGTTCGGTTTAAAATTTGTTGCTGTATGGCAGAAGTAATTAGCTTTAGTCTATTACCAAATCTTAAACTTAATTCTGCTCCCTCTGTTATCAGTGAATAATTACATGCAAAATGAAGTATTTTTAGGATCTCTCCATATTGTAGCTTGGCCTGTGCATCTTGAAGTGGTAGTAAATTTTTTGAGGACTGTCCCAGACATACGTTCTCTGTTGCTGCCAAGCCATGTGTGTAATAAAAGTAACACATAATTGAGCAACTGTTGTCAGGCAGTATCTGAAGTCCTGTCCATTCAAAAATACTCAGATAAAAAACAACAGCAAATCTGTGCAAATTTATCCTGAGCAGTTTTAGTAAAATCTGTCTTTGTTTCAGAATCAAAGCAAGTAGTATGCATGAGATTAGAGTGGCTTTTGTATTTTTTTTTCTCCTCTAGAGCTTCTCCCTTTTTTCTGTCTTTTTACACAGACAGTGTTTTGTGTCCTGAAGATCCTTCTGTCATGATATGTTATTCATGGCTGAGATAGGCCTGTATTTTCTGGGGTGCTGATCTGCACAACTCCTTTGATGTTAGGTAGGTCAGTGATAAGCAGCAGCTGAGGTTCTGGCCTAGCAGTGCTTTAAGCACTGTTGCTAATACACTCCATGCTTGCTAGTCATAGCACAAGAACTCTACTGGGTGTCAATTTACTTGAACTGTTATTAATTTCTTGTTTGTGTTGCTAAGCTCCAAGGCTGCTGTTAAGGACCTTACCTGGCTACAAATACATGAAATTTGTTAATTTTCATATTAAATTTTGTATGTGGATCAACTCAGTGGGATATCAGGGACTTGAGCAACCTCAGCGCTCTAGAACTGAGTAATGGTGGTTAATACATGTGGAAAATAGACTAAAAACTTTTAAAAAACCACTTACCGAATAGAAGGAAAAAATCTTTTCTGAGTACTGCAAGTGTTTGAGTAACCTGGATTAAAAAACCGAGGCTCTGACCAGGCTTTCTCCCTAGACATGTTTGTGGGCTCCAGCCACGTAGTGTGAGTGTCCTCTGCTAGATGAAAAACTCTTTGAACTTGAAGGCCAGGGATAGCTTTTTAGCAACGTAATCTTTATTTTTAGCTTTCGTACAAACAAATTCACCAAGTAGCAGCATATAAAGAGTGTTTGAAATACACAGTATGCGCTATTATTTCGTGACGGTGTTGATCAGCGGTGCTCTTATACTTCAATTTGGGAAAATTCCACAATAGATGCTTCTTTTTCCTCAGCTAGCTATTCAGGATTCACTATACCTCTTTTGTATTCCTTCTGGTTTTACGAGGGGAAACAAAACTATTTAGCTATCACCATTATTGCCTGGAAAGGCAACGAAATATTTCAGTTATATTGCAGACTTAGCTCTCCATGTGTGTTCCTTTAATAATAAATACAAGCGTGTGAGTAGGTGGTCTAATTTGTCCCAGTAGGAGAGTAAAAGTGCATTAACTCTAAGCATTGCAAAGCAATGTATAAATAATGTTATATATCATAATTAGGGTAATTTACTCATATGAACAAATCAAATGGCATAATGAAGAAAGAACAATTCTGCTTAACATTACAGGAATCCAGAGTGATTTAGTTGCAGCAGATGTGAGCTTATTTCTTCCAAACCCTTTTTTTCTTCATATTTCTTATAAGTTTTTTTGTTAGTGATAACAACTTAACCCATTTCAGTGAAGTCTAAGCTCTTATGCCTTGGACCACTGACTGCTGTGACAGTGGTCCAAGTGTCTTCATCCAAAGAACCTGAGTCTCGTGAACTTCCTCTCTTACTTCAGGTTGCGTGACTGCAGTATTAGAGAACACAGCTTATTTGTCTGTAAGCATAGTGCTATAAAGCATAACTTCACCCACTGACCTATGATGCTGGATCCTATAGTTCTCTTCACCTGCTTAAATTGTGCCACTTACTGTTGTTTCTAGTGCTGGCAACCTCTGAATTTTAGCCTAGCAGCTGCAAAACTTGCATGTATAGATTACACAACAAGCTAAAAGCATAAGGTTTTAAGGAAAAAAAACAAACAAACAAAAAAAAAAAACAACCAACACTGTGGCTTATTTTAGTCATGAGAAAGTAAAGCTCTTCATTTTTTTGCCGAATACTGTAGACTAGAAATTTCTGATAATAGCTGCTTTAGGACTGTGTTTTCTGTAGCATCCATCCAGTCAGCTGAGCGTCTTTGAAGTATTGGCAGAAACACGTAATTCACAACAAAGATCCAGGTGCCACCACTACTTTGCTATAATGGTAGTAATGCTGCTGTCTATTGTTCTCTTCACTGGCATAGTAAAATGGGTAATTTTCTGGGTGAAGTGAAAGCACAACTAAGGTCAGAACTCATTCAGCCAATGCTGAAAATGAGACGAACTTTGTTCTTAGAAGTCATAATGGGGTGTAATCATAGGTGTGTACCACAGACATATGCAACTGGTGCTCTAATGCAGTCTGTGACAAAGGAATTTAATATCAATAACCCTCAGGAAACAACTGAGAAGTAATAACGGGGTGTAAAAGAGCAACTGAGGTTGAACTCAAAGTAAGGATAGAAAGAAAATAGAGAAGTAGTCTTCAGCTGGTAGAAGGAGGATCGGGGAAAAATGACAGACTGTACTCAGTAGCAGGGCTTGTGGATTTACCTTAGTGAGACAAAAAAAAAAAAATTTGGCTTCATTCCTGAGTGTTTAGAAAAAAAAAAAATTGGGGGTTGTCTCTCCCCCTCCCGCCTTGTGTATCCTGTTACTGCATTTCATGAATTAGGAAGACTCAGTATTTCTGCAGTGACTTAATTATACTGGCTAAACCATATATTAATTCAGAAACACTTAGGATAAATGCATTTCTTAAATCATAACTGACCACCCCCACTCCGGATTATATGCTCCTGCATTGGAATAGCCCTAAAATACACATATAATAGCATTTTAAGGTTCATGGCTATTGTAACTGTTCTGGTTGGCAGTGGGAGTATGATTCTATGCGTACCTAAAATTCTTGAACTGTCTGCTAGATCTCATCCTCCAGTGACTCATTCGTGTTCATAGGTCAAAAGAGGGGAAAGCATCTTGTGTTTTTAATCTGGTCAGTCACTTAGTTGGTTCAGTCACTAACATAATTCAAGCAAATAGAAGATCATCCTTGCTTTAGTGAATTCAATTTGTATCCAAAACTCTTTGTCATACCTAAAGCCTTTTAAGGACTTCAGTGAACTTATTGCAGATACTCAGATATTCACTCCTACCAGTTCTGTGCTCTAATTTCAGTTAGGACAAATGATTAAATGTGATGTAAAGAGTATATTACAGATGCTATGAGCCTTTGACTTTATAGCAGCCTAGAGGAAATAGTATTGGATACTGATAAATAGGTGCAAAAAAAGGGAAATAAAGAAAAAAAAAAAGTAGTTTGGTTTGCTTAATCTCTAGAAGCTGCTAGACAGCATAAATTCTGCCTTGGAATGTGATCTTATGGCTTGGCCTCTGCCTAGTAACTTGC